TTCAACACACACACACACACACACACACGGGCGGGTGCAAGGGGGCGGCCTTCGGCCACCCCCCCGCACCCACACCGTCACAGAGGTCTGCCCCGACAGTACAATCACAACAATAGTACAATCGTAGAAGTCGTGTGCCCCTGTGCGGGGGGGGGGGGTGAAAGTTACTTCGCATGAAAAATTCAACGTTTCTAAACAGGGAAAGGTGTAGAACAGTACTTCATATCATACATGTATAGCATACGTTACAACTATGATTGTTAATAACTTTTTAACGAAGGACGAGTGACAGCTAAAAACTGTTGAGAGTTACTCAGGGTCATGACTTTGACAACATATGTCAAGATCAAAGTCATTGCAGGGAGGTCCCCTGATTGAGACATTTACTATTTTAAAACTATAATTGTTAATAACTTTTTAACGAAGGGCGAGCGACGGCTAGTTGTTAAGGCAAAGTTACTCAGGGTCATGACCTTGACAACATATGTCAAGGTCAAAGTCATTGGAGGGGGGTCCCCTAATCGAAACATTTACCGTGATCTCCATCACAAGGAGAAAATGTTCGGTGATTTAGAAAGGCCTTTTACCATGAAGGAGCTTAGACTAGCTCTGATGCAATCTAAGAAGAACTCTGCTCCTGGACTTGATCAGATCAGCTTTGCTATGCTTGCCGCTCTTTCTGACAAATATATAGAATTTCATTTAAATATTAATTATCAAATGACTGAACTTTCACATGAGTACAATCTAACAAAGTAACTCACAACTCTTGGAATTTTAAAGTTAACTCGTGCAATGTTAAAGAACATTATTTGCCCAGTTTTTATTTCATCTGCAAAAGTGAGAAATTTTATAAACCTTAGTCGAAAACAAACAATAGCATTCGTCGTTATACGGTAGATAATTCTGTGAGCACTTGTTTTGCTCATTCCACAAATCACCTGCTGATATTAAGTGGCTATCAGTAGTATAGAATCTCATCATCAAGAGGAGTTGATTTGAAAGAGAAATAGTATTCCTGATTAACAACAGTCATAAAGTACATATAATATAAAAAAATGTTATTACTAATGTAAATTACTATACTTTGTCCTTTCAATATTAACAATTAACATATAACATGAATATAACTTCTCAATAGTAAAAACTAATTTCTTTGCATTATTATGGTTCTATTATTATCCATATCTTTTTATCAATGATAATCAATATTTAAAGTATCCCATAGAATCATACATGTGAGTATATAACCAATAGAAGATAAATACCTTTATTGATCCGGTTTGATATTACTTGAACCGAGAGTGAAATCCAGATCTCTAGCATTCCGTATGAGCATCCTATATATATAAGTCTTTAAACCACCAAGGCAAACAATATTACTATTCATAAATAATAGCTTTGTTAATAACAAATACTTTCATTTATAATACTATTTTGTAATGCTGTATATACTTACAATTCTGTCAAATGTGCAATTTTGGATTTAATAAATGCCAACATTTCAGTAATGCATTCTTTTGATATTTGGAATCGAGCGTGGAAAACTACAAACTCATCAAAATGGGCAGGTCGTCTTCTAATATTATTTGGTCTTCGATTAATAATATTAGCAAAATTTTTATCTGATAATGGCAATACTTGTGCAAAGGTCGTACTATATATAAGTTATGAGATTTTAATAAATTTTGGAAATAACTTTCTGATATATTCCTTGTAATGTAATGCTCCTTTCTTCAATTCAATTCAACACATGAAACACACGATAATATATAACCTTAAAAAAAAAGTACGTTACTACAAAACGTGCGTAATTTTTAGTTACATTCCATTTACCACGGTCGTAAACCTTGGTTAAATTGGTTCAAAATCGGAGGTTCATATTTAACCAAGGCAAGTAAACGTTAACAAAGGTTTAAGAGTACGATTACATGCAGCGCGGTACGCGGTACGCGGTAAAGTAATATAAGGTAATTAACCTGAAAAGTTAACGCAAATTTCTTCCAAGTGGTCAATAAAGCGCATGGTAATTATTAGATTTAATCGATTTAAATAATGTTATCATGGCCATCAACATTATATCTGCAGTCTCCATTACGAAAACAGTCTTTAATTAATGCGAAAATCGTTTTTTTTTTCCTACCAAACTCCGAATTCCGAAATTATTTCTCTTTACTTGGCAGTATACACAGTGGGTGCTTTCCAATTACAATATCCCTAGACACTTTCGTGCACACGGCAACACAAGTTACGTTCCAATTGTCCGTTATTGGCTGCTTTCCATCAAGGCTTTTAGGCGACATACATCGACACAGTGTCGAACGCGGTGCTTTCCAACAACGACACGCCTCGGCACGATTCGACACAGCAGCTTAGACTGCTTTCCATCAAGGCTTTTAGGCGACATACATCGACACAGTGTCGAACGCGATGCTTTCCAACAACGACACGCCACGACACGATTCGACACAGCAGAAAAGCATAGTCGGACACTCTTGGTTATGGTTGCTAATTTTCGGTTGGCGCTTTAGAATATTAACATTTTAAATATATGTACGATATAAGAAGTACGTTCATAAGTCATCTGGATTATTTTAATGTAAAAAATAATATCTACGCATAAGATTATTATCCAATAAGAGACTAACAGAAGTGACACGGTATGACACGGCAATCGTTGCATCCTTGTCGTTCGCTAATGTTAAATAAAGATGAGGTGATTGCTGTGTCGTAGATGGAAAGCAACCAATTGTCGAGTATCGACCCAGTTATGAAATAACGTAACGGAATTGCTCTGATTGGTTAACCCCTTCCATTTGCCTTTTCCGTTGATGTTCCGTTCTGCTATTACTGACTCCATGTGACTGCACCTTTACACATTTCGGGATTCAAGAACTCGGACAAAGTTCTAACACCGTGGATACAGGGCTTAAAATATTAACAAATCACATTTGAGGCATTTGGTTATATGACCAATTTGATTGGTCAATTCTTTTTCATCTAAGATCTTGGACCGATTTATATTATTGTGAACGGCTTTAGAAGTCACAAATCACTTCCCCCTTCCCCCGTCCGAGGAAACTTGCAACAGAAAAAATATAAAATGATAGATTTCTATATGTCATATTACCTAAAGGTAGAAAATGCTTTTTCCTTTCACTCAAGTGATACTTAAAAAAAAAAATAAAGTGACAGATATATATTATCTTCCAACATTTGACGGCTACTGTTTTGATGATTGTTAGTGAATGTTATTGCCATGTTATTGTCCATGTTATTGCAAGGAATTTGCGATCACAGAATGAAATTTATTGATATATATACAGGAATTTGTGGCAGTGTTCACGATATCCGAGTTTGGCGATTAAGTGACATTAAATATTTGATGGAATATGATATACAAAGATACTTTCCACAGCAGGGTCATTTGTTAGCGGATTCTGCATATCCACTTTCATATTATATGCTTACCCCATTTCGTGACAATGGTCACTTAAATCACATACAACATAATTATAATAACAAATTGTCAAAAACTCGTGTCATAATCGAAAGAGCATTTGGCATGTTAAAAGGGAGATTTCGGAAACTTAAATATTTATACATTTATAACACAGAAATGATACCTTTACTTATACTTGCGTGTTGTGTTTTGCACAACATATGTATTGACAATGAGAATGAACCTTTTCACATTTTGGAGCCATTAGATGATGAAAATGATTACAATGACGCAGGTGTACAAGCCGAAGAAAAATGAGAAATTATTGCGCAATTATTATTTAATTTGTAATAAGTATTTATTAATTTAATGTTACAATTGAGAATGGATATTAACTATACATGTACAGAAATACGTACTTTATTCTTTTTTATTACAAAATTATATTACATATATAAAACGCATGAGACAAAAATAAACGTTACGTATCATTATCACATTTTTAAGTTGTATGTGTATTTCACATTTTTCATGTGTAATCTTATCTAATGTGTATTCAGTTTCACATCTTATAGAGAGTCTCAATAAAAATAATCTATTTAACATAAATCTCTATACTTTTGGACATATAAAATTTGTCTCTTTTACCATACATTAAACGCTAAATATACTTTAACAACACAACATTTTCTTTTAAATCTTATATTCGGAATTGAAATCAATCTTTCTCTTCCTCTATTTATCATTAAAATATGAATTACGAAACACAAAATTGTATTACGTATATAAAACATATGATATACAAAAATAAATGTTACATTTCATTATCACATTTTTAATTTGTATGTGTATCTCACATTTTTCATGTGTAATCTTATCTAGTGTGTATTCAGTTTCACATCTTATAGAGAGTCTCAATAAAAATAATCTATTTAACATAAATCTCTATACTTTTGGATATATAAAATTTATCTCTTTTACACCATACATTAAACGCTAAATACTTTAACAACACATTTTCTTTTAAATCTTATATTCGGAATTGAAATCAGTCTCTCTCTTCCTCTATCTATCATTAAAATATGAATTACGAAACACAAAATTGTATTACGTATATAAAACAAATGATACACAAAAATAAACGTTACGTTTCATTATCTTATATATAGTACTTTAACTTAATAAAAATATTCTATTTAACACAAATCTTTATATTCTCGGTTAAATTAGTAAATCTTAAAAGCCAAAATTTTTTATTTCCTGCGAGACAAGTAATGACTTTTGACACTCAACAATTTTTTAAATGGATGTCTCAATTTCGTAAAAAAAATGTCAGTTTAATGATTTTCTAATTTAACCAACAATATATATTTATAGAATCAATACCGAAATGCTTTATAACATATATAATAAATATAAAATAAAAAACTTTTTTGTAAGATAAAGCTATTATAAGAAAAAATATCACGTTTTTTTTTATGTTTAACACAGGTCTGTATAAAAATAATATCTTCTTCTTACTCCACATTACCATTTTTCATACTGTTTGCAAACAATGTTAAAAATTTCTCTTGCATTCTACGTTCTTTTTATGATGCTCTTCTCTTTGTTTAAATAATTGCTCCAATATTGTAGTATGGCGTTTTTGGCGTTTTCTCACATTGCGTATAATGCCATAAGAAGTATTTGACACTGCAGGATCATTTTCATTATTATATTCCTCGTAGTCTGTACAAGGACTTCTTTCTCTTATTCGAAATCCGTGAGTACTGGAAGCAACTGAGACAGGTAATATTTCAGGTCTAGTATGTAAGAATTCATCAATCATGTTGAAATATTCCCAAGTTTGTGCAGCACGACCAGTTTCATTGTTATTTTCTCGTACATGCTTATATTTTTGTTTTAAATTTTTCCATTTTGTTAAACATTGCTCATCAGTGATATTGTATCCTTTTTCATGGAAATTACTGGCTATGTCCTTCCACACTCTTTTCTGCATGTAATTCTTTTTATTTATTAACGATATATGTTTACTAACTTCATGCATTAATAATTTTGTAGTTTCTGCAGTCCAGTAAAATCGGTTTTCTGTGGAAAATATTCTCATTAAAATATAAAAATGTTTCTTATTCCACAAACATATGTAGACAATTTACTAAAAAAGCTACATTGACGAACAACAAGAATGTAATGATTCATTGTATCACATCTGTGTCGTTGGAAGGCATCCTATTTCTACATTACACCTACCAGAAAGATTCGAGAGATCTGTTTTCATTTGCATCCATTTTAAAATTGGCAAAAATCTGCAAAAATATATTTTATTATATATATTTAAATTATAAAAAATTAATAAAGTGAGGTTATATATTTGCTTTTCTAGAATTCTTTTACTATACTATACATATTTCCATTATTAATATACATTTCAGAATAAAATACACAATAATTATTAGAATAATAGTTAACGTATGTATCTCTTTGTCTTTATGCACTCTGCTTTTATTAAGTTCATACGCAAATTCGCAAAATTGTTCCTCTCTCACGATCCGTTCAACACAATTCGATTACCTCCTGAGACAGGCATCAAAATCCGATTAAGCTAGGGAGTTTTTTGAAATGCACCAATTGAGTACCACTGTTCGATCGGATTAGAAATCCGACCATTTGTCATAAACACCCTTACTTTTCATAGATTTCGATTGCTCATTACTTCAACATTATACATCGTTAAAAATTTAATATATGTCTCTCAACATATTATTAAGATCCATAAGATGCTATAAGCATCAAAAATTGTTAGATTGCTTGTCAATTTAACTATGTAATATTACCGCGGTAGTTGTTTAGAGTTGCGTTGTAAGTCTGAAAAAATTTTCGGCACGCAGTTAAAGAGACTACATACTCGGTATATAAATTTCACACATAATTATTATAAAGCATTCTTGATCTAGCTTTGACCGATATTAAGGGTTTCTTCTTCCTAATTATTGTTTATCAATACATCGGTCTTAAAAAGATTATAATGTTTGTTTATAATTGTTGGTTTCATTAATATGATTGTATGATTTTTGTTTAATAATCTCTATAAATGTGTATAAAATTTTAGATGTAACAGTACTTTTCCTTAAAAAAAAATATAAAGTTATAATTAACAATAAAGTTTGAAAAAGTTAAATTAATGAAATAATCAATATATGATTGAATAAGATATTTTAACTAATAATATGCAAACGAAATTATTCTTTTAGAGTTAAATTACTATTAAATTTACTTCTAAATAAATATTACGATGAAAACAATTAATTTTTTAATAATAAACATATAATTTGACTTTATAGAAAAAGGAATCAAAAGGAACTCACAAATAAAGATGTATTATAAACACACATTATATAATGATTTTTTAATTTCCTTATAGAAGACCTGCAGAGACTTGCAGAAGTAAAAGTTATTAACTCTTAGATTTCGCTTACAGAGGACGCGTTTCAAAAAGTTGTTTTTTTTAGCACAAAAATAATTATTTTGGGTTTCTAATATTTTTTTCGTAGTAATAGATGGTACAAAGTTTTTACTGATATAGTTCGTTTATTTTAAACATAATAAATAATACTAAATAAATTATTATACTAATTTTGTTCATTTTTACCGACATAAAAATCGAACTAATTTTTAAACCATCAACTTATCGCGAGTTCGTGTGAAACAGATCATCAGTCATCAATCGCATCAGAACCAATGAAGATCTTTTCTTGAGACTGATACTGAGTTCAAATCCTTTTCTAAGTTCCAGGGTTGGGTAAGTTACTTTTTTTGGTAATTATTTAGATTAGGGGACACCTCACCGATGACCTTGACCTTGACATATGTTGTCAAGGTCATGATTCTGAGTAACTTTACCTTAACAACTAGGCGGCGGTCTCTTATAGTTTCTGAGATATTTAGACTTAAAGGTATAATTTTGTATAATACAAGACAAATGTTCACTTTAGGGAACTCAGCTCCGATGATCTTAACCTTGACATATGTTGTCAAGGTCATGACCTTAAGTGACCTCCCGCATGTTTTAGGTGGCGGTCGCTGTCCGTTAAAAAGTTATGATCAAAAAAGTTTTGAAATTAACGTATCATTTCTGGGAAATTATACGTATTAACGTATCATTTCTGCCATATATGTATTATAACAAGTACTATTTTACATCTCCTCCTATGTAGAAACGTTAAACTTTCTACGCGAAGTAACTTTAACTCCCCCCCCCCCCCTCTTCACAGGGGCATTCGATTTCTACGATTGTACTGTTGCTATGATAGTACTGTCGGGGCAGACCTCTGTCGACGGTGTGGGTGCGGGGGGGTGGCCGAAGGCCGCCCCCTTGCACCCGCCCTTGTGTGTGTGTGTGTGTGTGTGTTCCATTCGTTATGTAACGATTATTACTATATACGATTATTACATATACGATTATTACATAACGAGTCTATTACTTGATATTTTACACACGCACGCACGCACGCACGCACGCACGCACGGGTGCAAGGGGGCGACCTTCGGCCACCCCCCCGCACCCACACCGTCGACAGAGGTTTGCCCCGACAGTACTATCATAGCAACAGTACAATCGTAGAAGTCAAATGCCCCTGTGAAGAGGGGGGGGAGGGAGGGGTTTAAAGTTACTTCGCGTGGAAAGTTTAACGTTTCTAAACAGAGAAAGGTGTAGAATAGTACTTAATATCATACATGTATTATATATCATATGTTAATTTTAAAACTATGATTGTTAATAACTTTTTAACGAAGGATGAGCGACGGCTAAAACCTGTTGGAGGTTACTCAGGGTCGTATCCTTGAGAACATATGTCAAGGTCAAGGTCATTGTGGAGAGTCCCCTGATCTAAAGATTTACCGGTTTCACTACTGTTAAAAATAACTTCAACGCTTAATATCTCAAAAATTATAAGAGTCCGCCGCCTAGTTGTTAAGGCAAAGTTACTCAGAATCATAACCTTGACAACATATGTCAAGGTCAAGGTCATCGGTGAGGTGTCCCTTAATCTAAATAATTACCCTTTTTTTTTTAACTAAATTAAGTTAAAAATTAAACATAAAAATCGACTCTCGAAAATTTCAAATCAATAGAATAAATAGGCTAATGAGAGTAAAATCGCTGTTAGTAATGCGAAATTATAAAAAACATATATTTATGCAATTCTGTGCGCAAAGTGTGCCTTCGCGCACTAATTTTAATGTCGGGAAGTTCATTTTACGGGGTTGGTATGCGTGAAGTAGTTAGTCGTGCGCGAAGTGATGAGTCGTGCGCGAAGTGGATAATGAAGTGAACGATAGAGCCCACATTTTTTGCATATCAGTTTATAAATACCGAAAAATTTCCATTAGAAACTCACTGTGGAACTACTTCACGCATACCAACCCCGTAAAATGAACTTCTCGACATTAAAATTAGTGCGCGAAGACACACTTTGCTCACTGAATTGCATAAAATATCGTAAGCAATTCGTGCGCGACGTTACCGCACTTGCATCGAACGCAAGCGCACGAGTCGCCAGCGTTCGCCGCTAGTGCGATAAAGTTATCTTCGCGCACTTATTACATAATATACTATTATTAACAATTAAATAATATCATATATAAAATTACTATACGTTTCGTCTCACATCTGAGCCATCTTCAGTAGTACATTCGCGAAAAAGCCATGGATATGTAGGAAAGTGGTCACTTTCACCGTCAGCAATCAAAACCACATGGTTGGAAGGTCATGTGCAATCGACTAGACGAAAATCTAAAGTACAAATTGAAATTAATAACTATGATTGAAGAAAAAATGAAAATGAACACTCACCGACAAATCCATGATTACAAGATCAAATTGTATTATAAGAATAATTGACCATAATCAAACAAACAACAAATTAATATAAAAGATAGTCAAACGATAAAAATCCGAAGATAACATTGTGATGGTCAAGATTTAAATGTAATAACTGTAAACAGGAGAACTCTATGAGGAGCAACAATGTATCGATCTATCTCACAATAACCTCGATAAACACAAATATCCAATGATGTCGTACATAAAGTTATAAGCGCATGCGTGTATCCACCGATACAAGAATCGATACAATTCCTCCAATCAGATAACAGAGATCACGCACGCACGCACGCACGCACGCACGCACGCACGCACGCACGCACGCACGCACGCACGCACGCACGCACGCACGCACGCACGCACGCACGCAGAGCTTGGTTGGGAGGTTTTTATGCATCCACCTTATAGTCTGGACCTGGCTCCAAGTGATTACCATCTATTCCTGTCTATGGCGAATGATTTTGCTAGTGAAAAATTCGCCTCAAGAGAAGCTTGTGAAAATCGACTGTCTCAGTTTTTTGCCAATAGGGATGAGGGTTTCTATGAGAGAGGCATAATAAAATTACGTTCAAAATGCCAACAAGTTATCGAATAAAACGGTGCATATTTGATCTAAATCGGATTATTCTAACTATACTAAATAAAGCCTTCAATTTCATGCAAAAATAATGGATTTCTTTTTACTACACTTATATATTCTAAATAAAATTACCTTTTTAAAAAAAGGTAATGTAGGAATGTGACTTGGAAATTTGAAAGAGTCGGATAATTTCAAAATTAAATATAAGCTTAATTAATTATAAAATGTCCAGTCAAATTTATTACAACGTTATTACATAGATTTCGCAAAGTAGAAGTTTCGATACATTGTCCGTCTCTTCTCGTCATTTGTCTAAAATCATTCCTATTTCACAACGCTCGACTCGTACTCGTTTATATACTCGAAATTCTCAATATAACTTAAAAGCGCTTTACTCGTAACGCGTATCTCGTATTTTAACAACTCGCGACTCGTATTCGTTTCTCTATATATTTCTATACACGGACTTTTCATTCGCACGTCTCGATCTCGTCTCTCATCTTAACTGACTCCTACTTCAAAATTGCTCGCGATC